AGTATCTAAGTTGTTGAAATCTATCATGTTTTTGTTTTACAGATGTATTATCTGTACCCCATGCCTAATCATTTTTGTATAACTTCAGGTGGCTGATTTTTTAATTCAGAGTTGTCTTTCTCCTAGACTGGTTGTCAACCATGGCTAGAGAGTCCAGTATGCTTTAGTATCTTAAAATATAGTGAGTGGGAGAAAAGATGGATCCATCCCTTTCCTTGGGTTATTTGCACAACAAAAGTGAAAGTAAGAAACTTGACTGGAATTCAAACTTGGTTCACTAATTTCTTGTTCCAAATTGCTAAACCCTAACCCACATTTTGTTGTGTAATATAGCATAAAATCTGCTTATTGCATATATAAGAACAGTCTACTCCTGTAGATTAAATAAAAAGTTCAGTTCAGAATTCTCTCAATGTTACACAGATTGACATACACCTGATAAAGGCCAGAAGGCAAAATGTTTTAAACATTGTGATAACAACAGCAAAGATAAGGACAATAGTCTGCATGTAAATAGTGTAAATAATACATTGGAATTGTTTACTAATGCTGATTCCGACAACTTGTTTTCTTCTAATTGCAAAATCTATTTTTGCCTAAATAGTATAAATCTGGAAAACTTGGAATGCATTTGTATTTTTATGAAGTTTTCTCCACAACATTGTATTTCCAAAAATTTATGACATTATAAATTTTCACTGGAAGGATTGTATTTCTAATTTTGCAGTACTTGAGAAACATTGACTGCTCTAATTTTTTTTTGGAATAAGAACAATATAGAAAGAGTACAAGCAGTAAAGACAGAAGGTTCATCAAATCCATCTAGGATTAGCTTCAGTGATTAGATCTAACCTTTATGGACAGTTATTCTATGCAAGGATCAATTTTGACAACAACCAAAGATATAGACTTGGGAATTAAGAAAGGATGAGTATAAAATGGAAATTAAATATTCAGATATGAGAAATAGCCAAAGATGATTGCAAGAAATTTTACATTAGAATTTCATGTACATCCATCCATCCATACATACATACATGGACAAGGACTTACAAGTTCCTGGATCCCAACTGGGAACATATTTTATTTTTTTGGCATATCTAATATTGTTCAGATGCTCAACTAGGACTCTTTTAAAGTTAAGCAATACTGTTATATATATCCACCTATTTGTTTTCTTAATTTCTAAAAATTTTTATGTTGTTCTATAAATAATTAAACTATCATTTAATTTATCCAATAAAAAGTAAATAAAAATATCAACAAACACTACTGTTTTTTAAGAATTCAGAAAAAAAATCAAATTGTTTTAAAAAGTGTAATTTAGTGTCAGGTGTATGTTACAATGTGTTGTGCTTATTTAAGCTAAAATAGCACCGAGCCCAACTGGAAATGATAATTCAGTTGACATAAAGATATCCTGTATTAAATCACTGAAGCTTAAATTTTTTGATGAATTGAAACAAAACTAGTCAGGATTTATAAAGACAATCCATCCATATCAGAATTATTTTTGGAATAAAGACTCAAAATAATGAACTACAAGATGATAAAAAAATTATACCCTGTTAAAGGTGATATTTTTTATTCAATTTAATGCATGAAAATCAATAGTAAAATTTAAACAATTTTGGGAGTATTACAGCACAATTGTACAGTATTTGCTATTTTCTTGCAAAACTACAAAGAATTTTATAGATGTTGGAAGGACATATTATTCCACAAACAGTTGAGAATTTCTAATTATGATTGTTTTTTATCTGTAATATCAAAATCCTTAAAACATTCTCAGAAAAGATAAAATATAGTTAGAATACCCTAATATGAAGATTTGGTGACATGAAATTTAGCTAAAATAAGTTATATGCTTAAGTTAAAGTTTTAATAATACAACAAACAACTAAAGTGTAAATTTTTAAAATACCCCATGTTTGGAGTATACATTAAAATGTTAGTAATAAACCTATTGTAGAAAACAAAAAAAAAGAACATAAAATATGATTTAATAGTTGCCTGCATTTATGGTTACTTAATATCAGTTTATTTTCAACTACTGAATTTTTTTTATATTCACATTTATACCTAGAGAAAATAGAAAGAAAATTTTATTTGTTTTCCTCTGCTTCTAAGCAAATAATATCCATTGTCTTAAATCAAATATTGACAAAAAAAAAATGGATGTTCAATTTGAACTTGGGATTTCATTTGATCAATGTAATTCTTTCACTTCAATTGTTTCTATTCTCTCCTTGTTTTCTTACAGAGCAACAGCCTTTGTGTCATGTATTAATAATAATAATAATAATAATAATAAAAGTGCAGGTGGTGCAATGGTTAGTGGCTTAGAAAGAGAAAAAAGCAAGCCAAGTTTAAATTCTAGCCGAGTTTATGTTCCCTTTTGCACAAATAGCTTTGAAAAAGGTATGATTCTGTATCTCCTCTGGCTATGGGTTAAATAGCAGGGCAGACTGAGCTCTCTGACCTTGGTTGACAACCAGTCAAGAATTGGTCACTTGATTAGAACACTTATCCCCCAGCAGCCTGGCCACTTATGGAGATCTCTCAGGCTAGGAAAAAAAAAATAGTGCAGAATAGCTGAAATTCTTAAGTCGCATGTGATGCACAAGTTTCCACAGATAGAAATAGCATCTACTTTGTATTATTATTATTATTAATAATAATAATAATAATAATAATAATAATAATAATAAATGCTCTGGCTGTTATGGCTTCTAATTTTAATTGACTGGAGCTGTTAGCATGTGTATGTTTTTTCTGCTTGAATTTCTGGGATGTGGAGTTATCATTATTTCCACTATTTATATTCCAACTATTGTCCTCATCTTTGTTGTTGTTATCACAACATTTCAGCTGTTGTGCCCTCAGTTCAGGTCAACATTCCCTGTAGGTTACCCAGATTGATATATACCTGATGAAAACTGGAATGAACAATGGCTGAAACATCATAACAACAATGCAGAAGAGGACAATAGTCTGAATGTAAATAATGTAAATATAGGTTTTGTTTTGGTGAATTAAGATGGGCTACAGTAAATATTCTGTCCAATACCACAGGTTAACTTGTTAGTTGCCTGACCATAACCAGTTAGGCATGTCCTCTTAGGGGCTTATGCACTTCTGTTTATGAGTAAGAGTATTTAGGAGAGCATTATGATCAGGGATTGAGAGGATTACTTTTGTTTTTAAGTTTGTATGAATGAGACAAGCAGCCAAAGCAGTTTGAGAGTTACATCTGGATATTTGGGCACAACTAACAGAGCAGATGAGGTTACCCAATATAGAATTATTTTTAACTGATCTTCACCTGCCAAGTTATGCACTGCTTTTATCAAAACCTGTCACTATATCATGCACATTTGGCTGTGATGCATCTGCCTGGTATACACTTATCAGACTTGGTATCATGATGAGTATATTGGGCTTTGTATATTTGAATCCCAGCATTGATTTGCTGGCATGCTGCTCTCTGAACCAATAATAATAATAATAATAATAATAAGTGTGTTTAACAAAATAAACTTCTATCACTTATAAGTAGTCAGTCTTTCGATTCCATATATTCATTTCATTATTAATACTTCACACAAGATAATGTACTATTAAGCTCATTTCATAGTTTTAAAGACTATTCATGAATTCAATCCTCATTGGGTGTTTGACACTCATGGTTTTGTACCAGACTAAACTAAAATTTAGTAATTAGCAATGAATAATAATTAACACTGAACAGATTACATTGGATTTATGAAAGTTTCAGAGCATCAAAATAAATTGAATGATAGATGAAGGTTGCATCACATACGTTAGTAGGCGTGGCCGGAGCAAGGGTCTCAACCCCTCCACCAATCTATGATACGGGGCCTGCCACTCTACTACATCTTAATTTTCATAAGATAATATTCATATAAAATACAAATTTTATTGTAACCTAATTATGTACAATAATGGATCATATGCAATATAGGTGAACAATTCAACTAGAAAGATTGAAAATAAATATTATGTATCTAAATACAAATTTGAGACATGTCATTATAGCTCATTCCATCTTAAATAAATCAACAATGTTTGCATACATTTTCAACATCAACTTGAGATTTTTCTTGTTAAAAAGTTGAATAATTTTAACACATTCAACATTATGGATAAGAAATAGTGGATTTTATATTCCGTGTTTTTTCCAGGTTTAGCAAAACAAATTCCCTGATTTGGACAAAAAAAAAAAAAAAAACTCAAAAAAACCAGAATACTGTCAAAATCCGTAAAACGTTTTAGTTAGTTGTGCTTAGTTTAATTTGTAATGTATATAAATCTAGGTAAAAAAAAAAGAAGCAAATATTGATAAGACAATGAAGGACACAAAACACTGCCCGGGACACCAAATCAGGCCACCCCACTTGAATGGAATGACACAAGGCCATTTTTAAAGTAGGAGTTCCACATGCATGTGAGACTAGTGACAAAAATTGATCAGCTCTCTTGGTACTTCCCTACTGGGAGGCCACAGCCATCAAGGACTAACCCTTACAATTACTCTTTTAGTGCAATGGAGAGATGCTACCATCCTTCTTTGAACATTATGGACTGGTGCTACATAATCACAAAACAGAACTGTACCAAATAACAGAAACCACATCATTTGAGGACTATCAACAGCAGCAACAGCTAAAATGGATATCATATGTAATTCAATGAAAAAAATAATGATATAATCAAGATGTTAACATTCTCTGCTACTCCAAATAAAAGATTAGGGAAGGAAATGACCCTTAACAGCTACTGAAATTGAGGAACCTACTTTCCTGAAAAATTGTTTTAAGAGAAAGATTTTATAAATTTTAACTGACAGAAGTACTGGCTGCTTGGTCAATGGATGCTGAATGTTTCCTTATAGGGAAAAAACTAATATTACCATTACAACTCCAATTGAGGTTTCTGGCAGAACCAATTTAAATTTAGTGATTATTGTTATGTTTGGGCTTGTGGCCATATCACACTGAAACATCAGTTCCTGTACGATCACTGAAGTTAAGCAACATTGACCTTGGTCAGTACATAGATGGATGACTGCTTGGGAACACCAGGTACTAGAAGGTTGAATGTGTGGGTGGTGTAATGGATAATGGCTTAGAATTGTTAATCAGAGAGTAGAGTTCTACTTCCTATTGGTTTCTTTATATTCACTTATGTGCAAATAGTCTTCTCCTCCCAGATATGGGTTAATTAGTAAAAAATGTATCACTAAATTATTACCTAAAAAAAACAAAAAAAAACATTCTTACAATCTAAAATATTTTCTGGTTTTAAATAACCTGCAAAGGGTTGTTATCAACCCTTCGTGGGTTATTTAAAGCCAGAAAATATTTTAAAAAAAAAAAAAAAAAAAAAAAAAAAAAGTAAGAAACGAATCAATCAATCAATTTGTTATATTTCAACCTCAAAATAATAAAGTAGAACACACTTCTACTTATTTTACTGTGTACTACTGTTTTTGTCGATGTTTTATTTTTTAGTAACAGGTTTTGTTTTTGTTTTTTTCTTTTTCTTACAGCATCCCAACCCTCTACCTTGAGTAGCGTGTAGTCCACGTATTGGGTGAACAATAGTTAATTTCTAACTATTGTTCACCCAATACGTGGCCTACGTGCCACAAGATAGAGGGTTGGGATGTTGTAAGGGTAAGGCCCTTACAAAGGGCATATCTAGGGTAGGGAGGGAGCCATCAAGGTTGCATATTATAAGGACAACTAAGGGTTGCATAAGAACAAAAATTTATTGTCATCCGAATATAAACAGTCACAAAATTCGAAAGAAAAAGAGATATTTTTATTTCATTTTTTAATTATTAACAATATTGTTGAGAGCCTTATTAAATTTTAATAAGGGTCCTAATGTTTTTTTATTTATTCGCTGACTGATCTGGTATGCAAGAATTGCCCATATTATTTAAATTTAATTAAACATTATTTTAATCGAATTAAATTAGAGGGAAAAAATAGATAAAAAATAATAACAAAGGAAAGAGAAAAAGCGCACCTCCCGTGTGTGTATTTTTTGTTTTGTTTTGGGGCATATCACATTGAGAGTCGATCGTAAGTTAATCTTCGATTATTCAAGTGTGAATAGTGAATTATTTGAATGTTTTTGTACGTATATTTACCTCTGAATTACAGTAGAGATGGTAGGAAAGGAATACGGTTTAAAAAAAAAAGCCTACCTTAAAAAATTCTATGGACTACGTGACTTGCTGCTTTAGGCGTTTGGCAAACTTAGCACAACTCCTTATTCTATATATGAGTTGGGTGGTAGTTTAATTGAAAACCTGACACATAGTGACCACCTTTTCTTTTCTTTTACTTTAAGTTTGTAATGAATGAATTATGGGTCCGACACTGCATTTTAAAACCTTTTGTTCGCTACATTGCTCTCTAATTCCTCCACAAATAAAAAAAATAATAATACACACACGCGAGAAATAAAATCTTTTACGGAAAATCAAATCGCGTGGAACTGTATTTCAAAAAAAATTATTTGTTAAACTCTGTAAAGTTCCGGTTACAAAAAAATATAAATAAATCAAATGAAGATAATCTTTGAAGATTTGCATACATTTAAAAAAAAAAAAAAAGAAAAAGAAAAAGTTCTTTCAATTGAAAATAAGACGTTTTTTGTGGGGGGGTGGCGACAGGGTCACGATATTGCGACAACAATGTTGTTTTGTTTTTAAAATAAAGCTTCATTGTTGCATTTTATTTACCTTTTTTTCTCTGAAAATACATTTATTTTTTTTCAGGTTTAAATCTTAATTTTACGTCTTTAATCGTTTTCTGAATCTAAAAATTATTATTTTAAGTGTTGCCGCAACATAAAAGAGAACAGGAAAGAAAAAAACACTAGTCATTAATTAAAAAAAACATTTAAATTTTTTGTCATACAAATTTTGAACTGTGTTCAAGTTCACGAATCTTTGGAGATTTAATTTATTTTCTCTTAAAATTAATTCACGACAATTCTTAAATAAATTAGTATTGTAATACTGAGATATAAGTTATTGCATCCAAAATACCCAAATAATAACAAAACACTGGAAACAATATTAAATTTAGAGAAGGTAACATTAGAAGGGAATCATTCAGGGCCTTGTTAAAGTGAGCAAATCGTCACGTATGCCATCAAAAATAAATAAATTAAAAAAATAATATAGTTTCGAAAAGGCAGAAACCTTCTTTTTTTATTAATTGATTCGTTCACATTTCAAAAGATTAATCGATTGCAACAATCACACACAAAGCAATAGTTTTGGAAAAAAAAAATAGACATACATTTGTTTACCAAAACAGACATATCAAGAAATACAGCAGTAATATTTTTGTATAGTACTGTAGCGCATCAAGTAATAATAATCATGAGACTAACTTATTAAAATAAAAACATCTCGGTTGCTATAAATTAAGAATCGAAATAATATTCTGTTATAATAGCAAAATTAACGTCAGTAATAATACAGACCTTGCAAGGTTAACAAAATCCAGTCATTGTGGTGGTAATCAAATCAGTCTGGTACGCTATTAACAACTACGGTGCTGCCTTAATAATTGTAGCTTCTGTACGGATACAGGCCGGTTAAAAAAAGAAAGGTTCCATTAAAAAAAAAAAAAAAAGAGCATCAGTTTTTGTTTTTTTTTTTTTTTTTTTTTTTTAAAGTCCGATGGCCAGTTTAAATGAAAAACATTGAATATTTCATTATTCAAATGCTTGCTTTTAAAAAGAGTTTCAGAGAAAAAGTGGTGAAAATAAAGTTGAAGAAAAACAAGAAAAAAAAAAAAAGCACACCACTCAACTTGCAGCGTATCTCTGGGATGGATGATAATAAACTTGTGCGTGCCTGTTGCTGTAGCCAACTCAAGAATGATGATGATAAATTTTAATATTTATAATACGATATGGACATCCCCATATACAAGTAACCACAAGTTTTTCTTTTGCATTTGTAGAGAGAGAGGCATAGTTTTTTTAAGAAGTAAATTTAAAAAGGGGATTATTATTACTTCTTTTTTTGCGACCAAAGATGATAGCGCGCAATACAACACATGTGAACCATGACATTGGGTTGCGCTCCACAGATATCGTATATAATTTATTTCACTAAGGTTAATGTGTATGATTGCGTATGTGCTTATTCTTGTTTGTCATCTAAACGAAATCATCAGCTGTATGTGAACGAATGTGGTTGGTTTGCGCCGGCCTGTTCATGATAGCAGAATCAAGATTAACACAAGCCCAGCATGCCTGTAACATGTGCAGTCGGCGTGTTCGCATAGAGAGTGTTAAGCTGCAATCTCCTAACCTCATTGTAGTCAGCCTTCTCTGCTTAATCTTTGTCTTGTAGTGTCTGCTGTAGCAGCTGAGTACTAACTAGTTAGTGACTGTTATCATTTTTTATTAATTGTATTGAATGGCACAGCCGGTATGGAGTCAGAGCAATGGCTTGACACTTGACAGTTTAGCGTCCCATTATTTCGTTTTTTACCCCACTGGCTTGTAGTAGAGAAGATCGTTATCTGATAAATTTGCAATGTTAGGAAAAGTTTTAATTTTACACTTTGGCAATCGAGAATTCGAAAAATATGTTAAAAAACAAAAACAAAAAAAAAAGAATAATCAATGAAATAAACGAAAGAGAAGCTATAGCCGGTGAAGATGTCAGAGAAAAGTATTTTGGTTAGTGTAACTGAAGCAGACGACGTGTGTTTCATACAGATAACTGTTTCAAGGATTTACAAACTTTGAGACGGAGTTACTATCAGACAAACTAAATACAGTGAACGCACTGTTAACATCGCCTGATCAGAATTATATTCACAATGATTATGTGTTCACTCTCCACCGACGGCAGTAAATTAACAAAGTAAAGAAGTTACTAACTTGCATATTAAAAAAAAGTTGGTTTCATAGCTGAATGAGTGATGCTAATTGCATACTTTAGAGAAATAATTTCTTTGAACACTGTTTTTCCATTCAATAATCAATCTAATTCTAGCATTTTAATTCTTCATTAAAGGGAGGGAAATTTCTTAGTTTTAATTTCAAATCAATGCAAAATAGATATTGTATGTAAAATCTTTAGCATAACAATAAAAAATAGCACCTTATAGTGAATGTTTGTTAGCATAATATCATTTAAATGCTTTAACCAGGAATAGAATTTAAATACTCTAAGCTAGACAATAACAAAATTTCCAGCTCAATAAGGCCACCAGTTTTTGAGTAATTTTTAATTAAGTTTAAACTGACAAAAAAAGTGACTAAGGGGAATAATTCCAGGTCTATTAACTGTTAATTACAGAGTAATTTCCCTTGACAAAACTGCATTCTTTCCCATTAGCCATAATAGCATAACAGTGACAATACTTATTGATAATTAACATGGCAAATAATTATAATATAAATTTAATAAATAGGAAGTGACTTGATAAGCAGATGCAAAAGGTGGCAATTAAGTGAGTCTATTATAATGAAAAGCTTATCATATATTCAGTGATAAGTCATGTGAGAAAAAAACAAATCAAAGAAAATATTCATTCTTCAAGTAGTTAGTTTTTGTAAAATATTTAAAACAGTGAAAACATATCAATATAAGAAAAAGAACTACAAAGTACAATGAACTATTACAGATGAAGACTGATGTTTGAGAGGACTAAAAGATATGGTCCTTCTAAACAAGATTCTTGTATTTGATTTTGTAACTTTATTTGGAATCCTTTCCCAACTAAGGTTTACATTTTATAATTATAATCATTTACTTCCATTTTTCTACCAATAGTGTTTCTTGGTAGGAATCATGGGATAGCAAGTCTCCTCAATACTCTACCTTTTTCCTCGGTGTTCTTTAGCAATTCTGTTTTAGAGATGATTTCAGTTGTTTTTACTTCCAATTACTTTATTCTTTTTTCAAAGCTCTTTGAGGCTGTTCCAAGTGATCTTTTACTGATGGGTACAACTATCATTTTACATTCTACATTTTTTTTTCATTTCTCTGGCAAGGCCCATTTATTTTGTCACTTTTTCAATGTTTTTGTACTCTCACA